AAAAAAAGGCCATAAAATATGATTCGGAGTCACAGTGGGAATTGTATAAAACACTACGTAATGAAGTAAATATAAACATGCGGAAAGCAAAATCTAAGTACTTTTGTGATAAAATCCAGGCAAGCTCTCAAATGGGAGACAGTAAAAGCGGATGGGCTTGGATAAATTCGCTCTTAGGAAGAAAGCATAAGAATGCAAATATTAATGAACTGAAAGTAAATGATGATATTATTTCTGATGATAAATCTATTACTGAAACATTAAATGAATATTTTATAAATATTGGAATGAAGATGGCTGCTGAATCAGCATGTAAAAGCACTGATGCTTTAAATGATCAAGTAATTTATGAAAGTACTGTGCTTCTTCCTAAAGAAAATTTTCACTTCGCAGATATTACTATAGATAGTGTTTCCAAACGCCTACAAAAACTAAATGTCTCAAAAGCGACAGGTATGGATGGAATACGTGCGAATATTTTAAAACTGACATCAACCCTTATTGCTCCATCTATAACTTTTATATTTAACCTATCGATTAGAACTGGTATTTATATAGATGAGTGGAAATTGGCTAGAGGTATACCAATTTACAAATCTGAGGATAAGCGTAAATGCGAAAATTATAGACCAATTTCAATTCTTCCCATAATAAGTAAAATATTTGAAGGGGAAGTTTTTACTCAAATATATAGCTTTTTGAATAAACATGCGCTTCTGCCTAAATTTCAATCCGGGTTTAGACCAAAACATGGAACCTTAGGTGCTCTTATACAAATGTGTGATCAATGGCTACAAGACATGGATGAAGGCAAAATAAATGGAGTTGTTTTTCTTGATATATGTAAAGCATTTGACTCGGTGAATCACGAGATATTATTGGAGAAGCTTAAAACCCAGTTTGGAATTCACGACATTGAATTAAAATGGTTCCAATCATACTTAAGGAATAGAAAGCAAGTGTGTTCTGTTAATGATCAAACTTCTTCTGCAAGAACAATAATATGCGGAATTCCGCAAGGATCCATACTTGGTCCATTATTGTTTTTGCTATATATTAATGATATGCTTGACATTTTAGAAAGGACAACCCCATGTCTTTATGCCGACGACACTCAGATATCTTCCTCTTCGCATGATTACGATACATTGATTGACAATTTGAATATGGACCTTTCCAGTATTCATAAATGGCTTGCTAAAAACAAACTAAAATATCATAGGAAAAAAAAAAGGTCATGTTTATTGGATCTACGCATAATCTAAATCATAAAATAGGAAATAGACCCGTTGAGATTAACAAAATCCCAGTCCCACAAACCAATACATTTAAATGTCTAGGTGTAAATCTAGATGAAAAATTAAGTTGGGAGAAACATATTGATTCTGTATGCCATAAGATTAGCGCTGGAATAGGAGCAATTAAAAGAATAAAACCTTATGTTCCACACAAAACCTTACATGATGTCTACAAAACATTAATTCAGCCTCATTTTGATTACTGTTCTCCCCTGTGGGATAACTGTGGTTTGGGACTTCAAGACAAATTGCAAAAATTCCAAAATCGAGCAGCAAGGGTGATTACCGGAGCTGACTACGATGTAAGATCGTCTGAAGTCCTAAACAAATTAGGCTGGGAAACCCTGGCTAGGAGACGAGAACAAAACAAGCTAGTATTGATGTATAAAGTCTTGGGGAACCACACTGCGCCAAACCTTAAAGATCTTTTTTCTCGGAGAAATGCATCGCAGAATATTTATGATTTACGCAATAGCGAAACTGATCTCTCGTTAAAAAAACCGAAAACGGAATTTCTAAAGAAAACATTTGGATACAGTGGAGCAATTCTATGGAATAGTCTCCTGCAAGATGTCAAGGCGGCTGAGTCAATTACGTCATTTAAAACAATGGCGAAATTGCATTTAAGCAGATGATAAGCTAATTTCTCCAGGACCAAATGATGGGAGGACAATATAGATTGTGGGCGGGAGGGGGGTTAGTTTTGCGTGAGGGTGGGTGGATACTTGTTTAGGGGGTGGAGGTTTGGGAGGAAGATGATAAAATTTTAGGGTGGGATTCTTACATATTTTTTTCTATATATAATTAACATTTAGCTCTTTGTGTGTATACGCCCTTCGTGGAAACCAGTTGTAAATAATTGTCGAAGTTAGCGTATTGAAATAAAGTTTTACATACATACATACATACATACATACATACACAACGATAACGATACGATAACTTGTATACGCGCGCTGATTGGTCAAAAATTTATCGTTATCGTCCGACTAAAGAAAATAGCTCGGGTGAGCGATTTTAAAATCGTTATCGTGAAACGATAATTTTATCATTTTCGTTGTAGTGTGGACACCAACATAATTTTTTTCACCAATCATCGCGTGTTTACAAGTTATCGTATAGCCTGCGTGGCAGGCCCGCTGCAAATCAGGCCCCCCATAAAATTGAGGGCCTGCCACGCAGGCTAGTTATCGTTATGCACCAGTCAGTAACAACAGTAACAAATGGCTTTATTAGCATGACTTCACATACAAGTATTGCTAAAGCTTATTAGTTAATTATAAATAGTTACAAATGCAAAATGTTCTGTGGTAATATGACACTGTGAGTAATACAAGAAATAAAAATGAAGTTATTGATATAAAGAAAGGCATAGTTAACAAATGAATACTCTATTTACAGTATACAGTATATGTAATTGAAGAAGTTTGGGAGTTAGTTCGATAGCCTATTGACTGTCAGCATTCCGAGCTTCAAGGCATTTAGATCTCTTCTCAAAACATAAAGAGATAAATTTTGATAATTTTATCACGGTTTCTTTATCAGTTGATTTCATTATCTCAACTGATAAACTGTGTTCGTTTAAATCTGTTTCATTGGTGGGATCACTTTCCAAGTCATTTAAAAAGTTTTCTCGGAGACTACTATAGGCTTCACAGGATGTTAGGAAGTGATGTTCCGTTTCAATTTCTCCTGCCTGGCAGACCTTGCATATTCGGTCTTCTCGCGGAATGTTTTCGTATCTACCGAGTTCAATCATTAGTTTATGGTTACTTAGTCGGAGCTGTGTTAAATGTTTTCTTTGGTTTGAATTAGTTATGGTAGTCAAATAAGTTTCAAGCTCATAGTCTTCCTTTATGCTTGTGTAGAAGGTAAGTTTGGATGAGTTTTCAAGTTTATGTCTCCAGAATCTCTGGTAGTTTTCTTTAGTATCTTTAACGCATGATTCAACTAGATTGGTTGTAAGTGAATCTAGGTCAGGGATTGCTCTATTACAATTCAAGGTTTTCACTATATCCATTGCTTTTCCATAGAAAGAATTGCTCTTTTTAATAAATAAATCTTTTGATATGAGGAAAGCTTGTTTTGAAATGGTTGTTTCAGGAAGTGAATTAAGATGAGTGACGTACTTGAAGATTCTTTTGAATACATTGATAATTAATGGATATTTTCCAAGTTCGCTTCTTGAGGCGATATTACTCGTCTTTCTGCCAACGCCTAGGTAGAGCTTACAGAATTTTAAGTGTACTTTTTCAACCGGCAGTTTATCCCAATTGATAAAATCGTTTTTGATATATACACCCCAAACTTCTGCATTGTACAGAAGAATGGGGCAAATTATGCTGTCGAAAATTTTAATAGCAGATTTGGGGTTAAGTTGGTGTAGGTTGAGCCGTCTTCTGATGCTATAGAGCGCATGCAGGGCTTTTTCACTCAGCTGTTTGATGGCCAAGGAAAAATTACCATTGTGATTAAGCTTTATGCCTAGGTAACAGTATTCCTGTACAACAGATATCTTTTCATTTCCTAGTGTGAAAATTGGCTTCGCTTTTTTTGTTTTCCTTTTTTCAAAAATCATAATTTGGGTTTTCTTTAGGTTTACCTCCATTAGCCACTTCTTACTCCAGCTATGGAGTTTATCCAGACACTTCTGGAGGCCGAATTTTGATTTAGATAGTATAATTAGATCATCTGCGTAAAGAAGACAGCTCAGTTCTGTTCCGTTTGGCAGTATAAATGGGTCCGAATTGGTGTTTTTAAATAAGGTCGTTATTTCATTTATATAAATATTGAAAAGAAGGGGGCTTAGTATACATCCTTGACGTACACCTTTAGAATAAGTGAAAAAATCGGTTCTGATGTTGTTTTGTTTGATTGCACATTTCGAGTTAGAATAAATACTCTTAATAAGACTGTAAAACTGACCATCAATTTTATTTTCAAGTAATTTCAAAAAAAGACCTTCGTGCCAAATAGAGTCAAAGGCTTTTTTAAAATCCACGAAACATGCATAAATTTTACCTTTGTTTTGTTCTACTTGTTTGTCAATTAGTGTTTTCAAAGTAAAAATATGGTCTGCAGTTCGGTGACCAGACTGAAATCCAATTTGCGATGGATGTATTAAGCTTTGTTGGTAACTAAAATTGCTTAGGCGGTCATTAAGGATAATACAGAAGAATTTGCTGAAACAGCTTGTCACACAAATTCCTCTGTAGTTGTTGGGGTTAGTTTTATCACCAGACTTAAAGATTGGCGTAATCAGACCTTCACACCATTGATCTGGGAAGCTACCAGTTTCTAGTATGAGGTTAAAAAGTTTTTTGTATCCTTGTAACAGTATGTTTGTACTGTATTTGAGCATTTCGTTTCTTATTTTATCAGAGTACGCGGATTTGTTGTTTTTTAATTTCCTCGCAGCGTTGATAATTTCGTATTCTGAAATAGGTTCATCGAGTAAATTATTTGTGGGTTCCATTTCAAGAGTTTTAAGCGTTTGTAAGATATTAATCTGTTCAGGGCCTATTAAGTGCTTTGTGTGCAGAGATTCAAAATGATTTAGCCAACTGCTGGCTGTAACATCCGGCTTATTAAAGGAAAAGTCTTCGAGTTCATCACTCATGTTCTTAAGTACTTTCCAGAAGGAGTTTGGGTCATTTTCAGACACTCTTTCTAGTTCTTCTAGTTTTTTTTCATGAAAAAGTTCTTTTTTACGTTTTAACGTGTTTTTGTAAATTTTGAGGGCAAAATGGTATTCGTTTCTTATATCGTTATTCAGGGGATCACGGTGTTTTTGGTTGGCAAGTTTCCTAACTGAATGTCTTTTTAAACGGCATTCTTTATCAAACCATTTCTTATTACAGACATTAGATATTTTGTTTCTGAATTTGGTCTTTTTTATTTGGAGGGAACTCTTTCCGGCATGCAAAATAATATCTTCCATTCTGGAAGCGAATGTGTTAACTCCTTCCTTTGTGAGGGGAGTGTCATAGTTGATTAAACTTTCCAGTTTTTGTTGGATTTCGACTGATTTTAAAGCTTCAGTGAATGAGATCGGCGAATTATTTTCCCATGTAAATTGATAAGGGAGTTTATGAGTAGTAGATATGGGTGTCGGAGTTATGTTGCTAGTTGAGTTAATATGTTGCTTTGTTCTGATCCACGTCACAATTTGACTGTGGTCAGATAAGTAGGTTGGTGGTTTGACAATAAAGTTTTCGATGGTTTGTGTAAGCTCTTGGTCACAGATTATATAGTCAACTACACTAGTTCCATTTTTGTGATGGGAAGTGGGTTTACCAAACAAGTCACCAAGAGTTCTTCCATTCAGAATTCTCATGTTGCAATTTTTGCAAATTTCAATAAGACTTTTACCATGCTGGTTAGTAGAGTTATCAAAACTTTCTCTGATTTTTGGTTCAAAAGATGTTTCAGAGATGTCTTTATGAAGGTGTTGCCTTCTTTTGATACAAAATCTTTCAGATTGCTGGTACGGGCATTAAAGTCCCCTAACAGCATTATGTTTCCTTTTTTGGAGAAATTCAAAATGTCATTTTCCAGTTCTTCAAATATTTCATCATCAAAGTATGGAGACATTTCTGGCGGAATGTAGACCCCACAAACAAATAGATCTTTTGTTTGGTTTAAAATTGTACGATCTATTCGACACCACAAGAAATTTTTTGTTTGTTTTTCAATTGAGAGAAAGGTTTCCAATTCTTTTTTAAACAAGACTGAAATTCCACCAGACAAACGGCAACTACGATTGGATCTGGGAGTTGCCGTAATGGTAGATACTGCCTTGAAACCAGGAATGCTGTTTGTCTCTTTGGACCCCCCCCCCAACCGGGGAGGGGAGGGGATTTTAACTTAGAGGGGTAGTAAAAGAGCGAAATTGTCCCCGCCCCCGGGGAAAGCGTAATTAATCAATGTCCCCGTATGTCTCTCAACCCTGGGAAAATAGTTTTGTATATATTTCATAGATCAGCAATAGAAAATCAAATTCATTTATGTTATTGTATTTAAACTTTTCTTGTAAAGAAAACTAAAACAGCAACACAGAGTATATATGTTACCACTGAATCCATTCCCCCGCTTTCTTCCCCGCATCGTCTACCGAAAGAGAAAATGTTGTCCAAGTCCCCCATCATCGGGGACATATTTACCATCAAAACTGACCACTTCCCCCGCTAAATCCCCGCCCCCTCCCTGGATGGCCTGGGTGTTTATTTGGATACAGATCATCATCTATGACTATGTGGCAATCTCTCAGAATGGGGCATGGGTTTAACAGCACCTAGGGACCTTGTACGAAGGCTATAATGAAGGAAATTGATCCAGATGGTTGTGAATTGCGGAAAAGAAGGTTTTTAAAAGAATGCGGGCCTCCCTTGTTGCAGGTAAAACACAAGGAATGCGGGAGGGAGATTGATAGTCTCCCGCCAAATGCGGGAGACTTGATGGAACACGGGTGCTCGCCTCCAAGCTTGGCAGTACCTCAGGGCCGTAGCATTTATAGTTGGAAGTGTAGGCCAAAAATTTCCGAATGAAGAAAACAATTTCCGAATATTTCATGGCATACGAAGCCACGAAGGTGTTTGCTATCTGGAAAATGAAGACGCAATTTACAAACAAAAATACGCATATTTTACGCACAGACATATTACAGAAGCATGTAGTGCGGTAGGAAGTTCTTTTTGATTGGGGGCGGAGATCGAGGGCCGAAGGCCCGAGGAAATTTTTAAATTTAGAGTCTCTGAAATGCTATTTCCTGAACTTTGGGGGAAGTTTTGAGAGAATTCCGATAGTCAGAAAACAGCGTTTTAATATGTCGAAATTTACAATTTGCTTGCAATTTAGTAGTGCTAAATGGGCGAAGGCGTATTTAATTAACTATATATTGGAGAGGACCGAGAAGTTGCAGGAAAGTATGGGTAATATGATTCTTTGCAGTTTGCCATGGATAACGTGGCCGCTTAAAATTAATCAATTGTTAGTATTTTAAAGGTATTTTATTTAAATGATAAAGGTCTGCCATGATTTTGAAAAAAGAATGATTATTAGCGAATTATTGGGAGGGCATTCTCGTACCCAGAGCCCTTCTTACGCGCGGTGCGACGAGGGGCTCTGGCCAAAACCGGATACCATAAAAACATGGTAAAAGAATATATCCGGTATTAGAACAATAACCTTCGTTGTAGCCAATCAGATGCCAGTTTGATATGGATTTGGCCAGAGTCCCCCGTCACACCGCGCGTAAGAAGGGTTCTGGGTACGAGAATGTTGGGAGGGTTGCATCCATTCTCGTACCCAGAGCCCTTCTTACGCGCGGTGCCTGCCTCCTCCGCAGGCCCTCGTTGTGTCATGGGAAGGTTTATACGATTTCGAGAGGGCCTGCGGAATCTTGTAAAATGAATAAATGTTGTTTTGAACCTGCTTCGTTAAAGAAGGCAGTTTTATTCGTGTATCGTTGGTGTGGACAACAAACCTTATCGTTAAAAAATGCTTCCTTCCACGTCCTAAGAGTCTCCAGTTTAATTTACAAGTTTCACGCCGCTTTTTTTATCTGTTTATATTCAAGATTATGTAGAAATTTACTTGCTGACGTGACGCCGGCGCCATTTTTTTTACAAGATTCCGCAGGCCCTCGCCAGATCGTGACCTTCCCATGACGCAACAAGGGCCTGAGGAGGCAGGCGCGGTGCGACGAGGGGCTCTGGCCAAATCCATATTCCGAACTGGCATCTGATTGGCTAGTTCTAACGCCGGATATTGTTTTCTTACCATGTATTTATGGTATCCGGTTAAGGATTTGGCCAGAGCCCCTCGTCGCACCGCGCGTAAGAAGGGCTCTGGGTAAGAGAATGGATTGCATCACCCCCATCCCCCCGCCCGCTGCTACGGCCCTGAGAAGTAATCAGCTGACTATTTGTTAAATGTTATCCATGTAAATGCCATGATTTCGTAAATCAGTTTACACTGACAATACAATTATATTATATTTTCTCTATTTAACAACTAAAATTTTGTTATACTATTATTCCCGTAATTTTCCGAATGGCCAACCTGATTTTCCGAATATGTTAATTCTTAAAAAGTTGGGGGGGGGGGTTAACCACCCCCCCAATACCCCCCTTCGCTACGGCCCTGATTTTGTACCTGGGCAGTACTACTCAAAACAAAGTTGTTGTCAAATTTTTTTTAGCGATATTAAAACAACGTCGGGCTACGCAACGGCGGCCGGCGGGCTACGCAACGCCCGTGTGCGGGCTTTATTCTAGTATTTTTAATTCAAATGAGAATTCATTCTTTTTCATATGAGAACTTAAATGAAATAAGAATTAGAAGTAAAGGAACTGCTTCTTTTCTAATAAGTTGAAAACCAAACAAAGAAAAAAAAGATTTATTGAAGAAAAAATGATATCCTTCGAGCCGGATTTGAACCAGCGACCTAGGGATTACTATGAATTTCCACTACAGTCCCCCGCTCTGCCAACTGAGCTATCGAAGGAGCTGAACAAGACGGCGAAACAATGCAATATAAGCAATCGCTGTGCATTTTAGATTTGAGTACGAGTACGACTACGAGTACGAGATTTCATCGCGTGCGAGGAAATTACCGTAGTCGTTTTCGTTTCCAATTAAATGTTGCTTTTATAACAGTAAACCAACAACGAGAGAAAAAGTTTCATAAAGTAAATCTCCTGCAGACTAAAAACCCCTACAAAACGTGTAAATAAGTCATAACATTAAAAACAGGCCAGATATTTAGGACTAATATATTATTTGCGCCGGATAAACGCTATATAAATGCTACAAATTATTTTTGGAAAACAAAAAAAAGTCAACTTTCTTTGTTTTTTTTGAAAAGTCGTCGTGAGGACTACGAGGTTTCTCCACAATTTCGTACTCAGATGGGCGACGGCTACGACTTTCTAGTGTCAGTACGGGATGGCGTAAGCATACAGCATGCGTTTAGCTTGACGAATCTCGTACTCGTAGTCGTACTCGTAGTCAAATCTAAAGCTCCCTATTAATATCTACGCCAAGGCTGAATATTGAAATGCCACTTTCAATCTGATTCAATTTCAGCCAGGGTAAATTTATCGCAGGCTTCGCGGGAAATACGAAATTAACGCGCGAAATTTGATAAAAAAAAAACCAACAACGCATGCGTGTAAGGAGTTTCAGCCCGGGCTGACCATGATGGCCGTGATGGCAAGAATTCAGCCCGGGCCGAGTTTTCAGCCCGGGGCTGAGTTGGGATTTATCTTTATTAAAGGATTTAACGATAAATCCCAACTCGGCCCGGTAGCCGGGCTGAAACTCGGCCCTGGCTGAAATCGTTCCATGTAATCAGCCCCTCAGTTAGCCAGCAGAGCTTTGGCCGTATTTCCGGGGGAGCTTGAGGGCGGACCAGAGTGAAATACGACCAGCCAACATTCTATGCTTTTTTGTATTACGCCCACAAAGTTGTTTATTTAATAGAACCAATCACAATGTGGGCTATAAATAGATCTTGTCTAAAAGTACACACGAGTGACCACGAATGACCACGAGTAATTTCTGTGTTTAAAAATCATCAAATAATAATAAAAACTATTTTAAGGTGGCTCCCTAAGGTTATTGCATTATACTCATAGAAATATTAGACTATCTATTAAAATAGATAATCTATTATTTCTATGATTATACTTAGAAATAATATCTATTATTTCTATGATTATACTGCACTATAGTATCTAGAAAACGCCTGTTTCTTCACTTTACATAACATGAAGACGAAATTTATTGGACACATTGACATTGCAATGTGCTACTTTTGTGCTGAAAGTCTGCTACCATGGCAACAGCGTGCTTAGGATAAGGCTCAAAATTTGTCTTTTTTCGGCCATTTTAAAAATCCCTTAGGGAAATTTTTTTGAGTTTTTCGACTATTGTACACGTCAGTCTACAGGAACGTAGCAAAGCATCTGAAGTTGGGGGGGGGTTGTCGGAGGATTTTACCTGAAAAAAAATTTTTAATTTTATTTTAATATAATAAAGCTTTTTGTGATTGACTTGCACTGTCATACTAAGTTTCGGGAGAAAACGGGGGTTTGGGGGTCCTCCCCCAGGAAACTGTTCCATTTTTGAAGCTCTAGGTGCAAATTGACTGTATATTTTACAAAAATGGTTATCATTACACACAAATAATTACTTTATTACGCAAATTTTACCTGAAAATATCAAAATTTTTACTGGAATTTTACCTGATTTTTGTCTGAGTTTCACAGTTTGGGGGGGGAGGGGGGTGTTGAGTTCAATATAAAACTGTATGTTATCCAAATATTAGTATGACGTAATACTGAGAGACAAATGCATGATGGGATTGTTGTGTTGTTAGTTGAACTTCCTCGTGAAAGTAACTTGCTGTACAAAACTACATTTGTAATAAACGTGAAAATAAAGAGTGATTTCATTACAAATACGGTGTTCTAAAGTCATGGCTTCAACAGGTTATGGGCCCAGCAGAGAATCACGCTGGTCAAGGTTGACTTTCGATGGAAACGAAAGCAATTACAAACTGTGGGAAGCGAAATTCCTCGCGCACATGAGGTTATTAAAACTAAAGGATACTATCCTGCCGTCTGAAGAAGAGGCTGACGCAACAAAGAACGAAGAATGCTACGCCGAGCTTATACAGTGTTTGGACGACACCAGTCTGTCATTGGTAATGAGGGATGCTACCGACGATGGCCGAAAGGCTTTACAAATACTCCGAGACCATTATGCAAATCAAGGCAAACCAAGAATCATCACACTCTACACTGAGCTAACGTCACTTGAAAAAGCACTTCACGAGACAGTCACAGATTACTTAATAAGAGCCGAGAAAGCAATAACAGCGCTTAAGAACGCCAAAGAAACGTTAAGCGATGGGCTAATAATTGCTATGATCTTAAAGGGGCTGCCTGATTCATATAAACCGTTCTCGATACATGTGACCCAAAGTGCAAGTGAGATAACGTTCGCGAAGTTCAAGAGCATGTTGAGGAGCTTCGAAGAAACGGAAAAGCTCAACACCAAACCGAAAGTTGATCAGGTAATGAAAGCTGAGTTTCCTTCGCAAACAATGACATGTTATGGCTGCGGGAAAAGAGGGCATTTAGTCAGAGAGTGCATTTAGTCAGAGAGTGCCCTGCTAAGAGCGAGAAGAAGTGGTGTAACTATCACAAAAGTACAACACACTCGGATAGCACCTGCAGAAGTCAGCAAAAGAGCAAAGACCAAGCCAAACAGGTGTCGGAGAAAGAAAACACCTCTAAAGATGAACATTCATTTGCATTCAAAGTTAACGACGAAGCAACAGGGAAAATCAATCGAATGGGAATGTTGGTTGACACAGGTGCCACTTCTCACATTGTTACTACTGATATTTTAAAGCAAATAGACATGACATTTAAACCATCAAAACATTACATTGAACTGGCTGATGGCACACGAGCCAGTAATATTGCATTGAAACGAGGGGATGCTGAAGTGTTTCTGAAAGATACAAATGGAAAATGTGTGAAAACGGTGCTGAAAAACGCCTTATATATACCATCCTATCCTCAAGATATTTTCTTAGTGAAGGCAGCCACATCAAATGGAGCCGAGCTTCGATTTGCCCAAGATACTGGTGAGCTAACCCTTGAAGATGGTACCATTGTTGAAATTGAAGAACATGGACGGTTGTACTATTTGACTTCCATAGACAGTCATGAGAACGATAGCGTAAGTGAAGTAGATAAAGTAAATCTCTCGTATGATATTAACACATGGCATGAAATCCTAGGGCACTGCAATTTTGAAGATATTATAAAACTACAGGGGTTAGTTAAGGGCATGAAATTCTCAGGTAAAATTGAGTCATCTAAGTTAGGTTGTAATACATGTGTAGAAGGAAAATTTGTAAACAGCAGGAGTAGGATTCCTGATGCAAGATCTCAAAAATCATTGGAGAAAGTGCATGTGGATTTGGCAGGTCCAGTTTCTCCTGTATCAAGAGAGGGGTTTAAGTACTGCATAGCTTTTACTGACGATTTCTCAGGAGCAGTATTTGTTTACTTTCTGAAATGTAAAAGTGACACCTTTGTAGCAACAGAGAAATTTCTAGCAGATATCACTCCTTATGGCAAGGTAAGTTGCATCCGTTCTGACAATGGCTCAGAATTTACAGGTAAGGCGTTTCAAACACTACTAAGGGAGCGTGGCATAAAACATGAAACTTCT